ACGTCAGGCCACATCAGTATCAGTCAGAAGGACGTCATCACTTCGGAGTATAGATCTGAAGACTAATGCTTCTCTAGGAGGAACAATAGATGTGATATAAAAGAAAAATGTCACTTAAGTTATTTTTTTATTCAATAAATTTTTATATTATTTATTTAAACAAGTAAATTTTTATTTAAATATTTTTTATTTTATTTTATATTTACATTTTCTATTTTCTTATTTTACTTTGCTACTCATCATCCAGACAAAACAATTAGCCTTGTCTCTCAATGCATCTTCGTTGATGCGAAATGTCCTCCGATCAAATCCTGAATTATTGGTATATGGAACTTTCATTTCACCCTTTTTTTAATCTATGGAAATTTCTTCTATTAATGAATGTTAGAGTGTAACGTCAGATTTTACAGGCAGATTAAAATTTATAACATGAAAATGTGATTAGACATCCAAAAAACATGATACCTTCAATTTAAAGTAATAATAAATTTTTTCATACAAAATTAAAATTATATTTTAAAATAAAATTAAAAGCATGAATATTATATCTAATTTTTCATTTTTTAGTCTCACTACTTTGTACACTATCACCAGAGAATTATTAGATGTTATCTGGTTTTAGAAAATACTTTTTATTCTTAAATATTTGTATCGAAAAAATTAAGAATTTTTTTTTGTATAAATCTAAAAATATTGACAATTTTGTAATTAAAAATAAAAACAAAGGATATTTCAGTAAACCAACACGCCTTTCAAGAACTGGTTTATCACATTATATGGATGAATGGACTTAAAAAAATAGTTCATAAGTATTACACATATTAGTTTTTACTTGATTAACATAATATGTATAAATTACTTTAAAATTTCTATGATTAACGTTATCAAGCATATACAATAATGTATTTTTATTTCAAAAGATTTTTTTGTCTTTAAATCATAAAAGAAAATGAACAAAAATAAATCCTGAAATAAACCTAAATTTAATTGTTTAATCACTTGCTAGAGCTAATTAGCTAATTTTCAATAATTATTTTTATTGTTAAGCACTTGCATCAACTAGCGAAAGATTATTCCAGTTTTATTTGTGATTTTAAAGTCAAATTTTAATGAATGCAGCTGTGTTAAGTACTTAAATAGTGATCTTTATTATTCTTACTAATCTTATCCAACTGAAATAGGATATTTCTAGAGAAAGATACTTATAGTTAAGACAAAAAAAATTTATTTTTTATTGTACAAAAATAATTATTAATAAAAAAAGTAAAAGAAGATAAAAAAAATTTGTTTAATAAAAAAAAAGAAACAAGTCTAAAAAATATAAATAAACACACAAAAAAAATCCTTCCATCTAATTTCAAAAACTATTAGTAACTAAAACGCTAACATATATTTTTAAGACGTTTGTTAAGAAGTTGAAAACAAATCCCTTAAAAAATGTTTTTTATGTGAGTCAATTATAATGTACTTCAATTAAATATATTTTTAATAATTTTAATTAATATTATTAAGACCAATAACAAAAATGAATTATCAAAAAAGAGAAAGAGGAAGTCATAACTTAAAAGGGAAAAAGAAGTTTTAAAATAAAAGCAAGATAAAAAAAAAGTTGAATATATTTTTTAGAATTTTTTTTGTAAATTTATACTAGTTCTCCTTTGGAGTTAATGTTACTTTTAATCAATGGCCTACGGTCAATATTTCACTATTTCTCAGTCACGTATTCAAATATGACTACAACTCATTTAAGTATAATTTTAAATATTTTTTTAAATATTTCTAAACCTTTAGAAAAAAAATGAGTATATTATAAAAGATAAAAAAGAATTAAATTTTTTTTATTTTTTTCTTACCAAAAAAGCACATATTGCTTTTTCAATTCTTATCACTTCTATATGGATGTGTCATGAATATATGGTCCTTTGAAGAGTTTTTATGTTAGAAATAATGAATTATATTTCTTAAAAATTAGATCTTGATCAAAATTTTTATTTAGACTCATCTTTTTTTATATTTTGTTATTTAAAACTTAGGTAGGTAAAGTTCATACATTAATAATAAAAATTAAAATAATAAACAAATAATTTTTTTGTGAGTTAATACAGTTATATTGAAAAAAAAATTGTTATAATTTTTTACTTTAATGTAATTATTAATGATGTCAAGCATTTGAAAGAAGAGAGAGTAATTCTTTAAATAAATATAGATTTTTTATTTAATTTATAATTATTTTTGTGTCAATAGTATTTGGATAATAAATTTTATACTCACATGTACGCACTATATATAGTTTGTGTGAGTTTTAAATTTTAACTGTATCAATTAATTATATTAACTTATTGATGTTTATTTGACTTCTCTAATTAATAAATTGAATGGTTATTAAAGTTTAAAATTAAAACAATAAAAGAAGAGGTATTGAATTTGTTTTAATTTTCTTTTATAAATACGAAACTCAGTTGAGTTTGAAACATAAAAAATTAGCTTTTAGTTGAGTTAAAAGACTGTTTCCAAAAGATAGAGTGAAAAGGTTTGAAAGTACACAGAAATTTGTATACATTCACTCAACAATAATATGGCTATGTTTAGTCTTTAACTTCTGACCAATATTTTTACTATTCAACTTTAAATATACAAAGTCTTATTTTATAAGTCTTTTAAATTCTATACACTTAAGTATTCATACGAATGCTTCTTCAAATAAATCAAACAACAAGAATTATCCTTTATATTTTAAGGATCATTACAAAAGAAACTGATTAAAAATAAGGCTTGACTTTTAAATGAAATGATATTCAAGTTAGAGTCTTCTTATATTTCACATTGATGTGTGCTGCATCAAATAGTCATGCACTTAATGGTTCACGTTAAATATATTCAAACATTTGTTAGATAGGATATACAAGTTCTTTCTTTCTTTTTTTTTTAATTTTTCTGATATGAGTAAGTCTTCTATTGTACCCAAAAAGTATTTTTTATATTTTTTTCTTATTTTACTAGTTCATGAAATGAGAAATAAAAAGGAAAACACTTTTATTTTTATTTAAAAAGTATGATCTTATTATTCTAAAAAATAATTTTTTATAGGTTTTTGTACTTTTACTTCGTATATATAGACAGATGATTAAAAGTTACTTATTATAATCTTTACTTATCGTCTTTTACAAACCATTTGCTCTTATAAATTATTTTATAGACAATATTTATAGTAAAACACTTAGTAAATTTATCAAATATTAATATAAAATTTATTTAAAACTATTTTATTTTTATTCATCAAAATATATTAACACTTACGATTTTTAAATAACTCGTCCTAACTTTAACCATAATTATTAAAAAAAAAGAGAAAGTGTGCATAGTAATGGCAAAGAGCACATCACATGAAATGCAATGATTAATATTTCTCTTCTCAATTATCGAGGTACTGTCCAACTTTCAAGCTCAGCACAATGGAGGGACGAACAGTTTCAATAAATGCTGCACGCCTTGAAGATCTATTAATTAAAATTTGATGAGATTCGAATGTTAAACTACAATTATATCTTTGATTTTGAACCCCGTGTTTTAGTGGGCAACTAAAAACAATTAGAACAAACTTGGAAGGTGAAAGAACATGCCTTTCATGCCACATTATAAAATTGCCAAACAATAAATTATTGTAAAACCAAATAATTTTATATGTGAATCATGTGCTACAATCCACGGATTAAAAATATAAATGAAAAGCACTAGTAATAAAATAAAACAACTTTTCCGTCCTTAACCAATGGCTAACTCATGGAACGATCGATGATTGGTCCAAAGAGCATAAGATTAGACGGAAATGATTTGTGTCTCGGTTATTTTATTTTATTTTGCTCCTTCATATCCCTACTTCAAAAAGTGATTAAAAAAGTAATATTCTTTACTTTATTTGGAAAGTACGAAAAGAAAAATAGATTCGGGGTGTAGAGGGTTTTGTTTATATGAAAAATAAAATTATCCAAATATAGTGTTTTAGAAAAAATTATAAAAATGAGATTTTTCTAAAAATTGTCAGTGACATTTTTTTATATTTTAAAAATATTTTATTAATTTTTTAAAAATTACCATTGATAATTTTTTATTTTTTATTTTTAAAAAATTGTCACTAGCAAGTTTTTTTTATAATTTTATAATATTTTTAAATTTATAAATTTTCTGAAAACATCATATTTTGATATATATATATATATATATATATAATTTTTAAATCCTATATATAAATAAATAATCCGAGTGTAGACCCTTCGTGGTACTAAACAAAAACAAAAATAGAATTAAAAAATTAGACAATAAAATTAATAGTAAAAAAAAAAGAAAGAAATAACACGTGTTTCATTCTCTCTCTCTCTCTCTTCATTCTCAGCAGTTAATCTAAGAACTTGGTAAAGAAAGAGTAATCTTTTCATTTTTATAAATATCTTTTTTACAGAGTATTGTACCATAATATTTATATGATTAAAAATTCAATCATCTATTAAAAAATATATAAAATTAGTATTATTGTATTTTATTTTGTATATAATTTAATCATTTGTTTAATTTATTTCTCTATCTTTATTTTTATTTTAATTTAGATATTTATTGCATCGATGAAATAAAAATAATAATAATGATGATAATATCGACAACTGTAATAATTAAAAGAAAAAATATGTTAACTAATCAAATAAAATGTAATTAATAGAGAAATATCTGTTTAATTGATATTTAAAAATTAGAGAATTAAAATAAATTAAGTAATAAATAAAAGAGATTAAAAAAAAAAGATAAATAAAAAAAATTAAGTTCAAAGATTGAAGTATTACTTTTGCAAGAAAAGCATTATATTTTTTGACTGATGTGTTATTTTTATATTAAGAGGAAAGACGAAAACGACATATATATATATATATCATAATACATGATGACCTTGCCTTTATACATCTATATATTGTGAACACGAGTGATGGGTAATACGCAAGTGGCTACTTGACTGGTAAGGTTAGAGAGGTGGTGGAATATGAGAAGTTCAGAAATGAAATTGCTGTGTCCAGTGACAAAGACTAAGAGCATGGGTTTCCTATCCCTCGTTACTTTTCTACTCTTCTCATTCTCAATGCCAACACTCTCTTCCTCCCAAAATGTTGGGAACATCCTACTCACTAATCGTAAGATGTTCCTCAAACAAGAACCCATTACCTCTTACGCTGTTATCTTCGATGCTGGAAGCACTGGAAGCCGCGTTCACGTGTTCCATTTTGACCAAAACTTAGATCTTCTTCGCATTGGCAACGAACTTGATCATTATAAAAAGGTTACATATTTTGGCTTGGCGCTAGCTTTTGCTTTATACAAGTCATAATAGTTATTCATTAATTCATGTCAATAGTAATCATTAGTTAATTTATTCGCTTCTTGGTTCTAACATTCTTTGTTATTACGTTGTAGATCACACCCGGTTTGAGTGCATACGCGGACAATCCTCAACAAGCCGCAAAATCTCTGATTCCACTTCTAGATGAAGCTGAAAGTGTTGTCCCTGAGGATATGCACCCCAAGACACCCCTTAAGCTTGGGGTTGGTGGTTCTTATCTCTGCATATGTTTGTGATCAATTAGTCAAGTTTACATGAACTTATTAATAAATATTTATATAAAAAAAAAAAAACCAAAGAAGTATAATAAGTTTTGAAAGCTAAAATTAATTTGCTTATCTCACCTTGTTTGAAGTCCTCATGATTGTTATTTATAAAACTTATAGCATATAGCTTGATTTTAACTTTTTTTTAAAAGGTGATATATTTTATTTTTCATAAACACTTATTAAAATATTAATCTAATTTATAATTTAATTGCCTTGTGGATTTGGGCATATACTAAGCATAATCTATTTGATAAATGTTTAGATATATAAAAAAAAAAGGATAAAAATCACTTCACACTTTATTATTTAGTGTGAAATGGATGAGTGAAGAAAAGTGTGTGTATATATTAGAATCTTATAAAGAAAGTCAAATTGGTTATCACTTCGTATTAGTTTTAATATCTAATCGGCTATAGTTAGTACATAATGTCTATTCAAAATTTTGTTGTTAATGTAGGCAACTGCAGGATTAAGGCTTTTGGATGGGGACGCTGCTGAAAGGATTTTGCAAGCGGTAATTATGCGTATTATTTTTGTTTTTGTTCAACGTTTTAACATTATTATACCTTGACTTTTAAGGTTTAAACTTTTCATTTTCATATTTTTAGGTTAGGGATATGTTTAAGAACAGAAGCACCTTAAATGTTCAACCTGATGCAGTTAGCGTTATAGATGGATTGCAAGAAGGTTCTTATCTGTGGGTATGACTTACAAATTATAAATTTGTTATGACATTTCTGCATTTCTCAATTTATTTATTTTAAGAGCAGTGGAGAAATAAATAAAAAAGACACAAATTGCTTAGGTGAAAAAAAAAAATCATTTGGTGGCACATCTCGAAGTTGATCTAAAATTTTAAAAATTTCTTACTACGTTAAGATTTTAGCAAATATTATTCTCAAAATAATTTTTATAATAAAAATAAGTAGATAAAAGAAAAATTATAAAATAAAGCAAGCTACATAATAAAAAATATTATAAGAATTGTGAATAAAATAAAAATCATATTATTTATTTATATTTAGCTCAACCTCAATACTTTAACTATACTAACGGAGAGATCTCCAGCGTTTCATTCACAGGAAATCCCGCCTCCTGTTTAATATTTAACTAGAAGTGATATTTATTTATATATTTAATTTTTTTTTTAAGTTTTTGTATTCTATTTTAATTTATGTATAATTTTAGGTTTTGTATTTTATTTTATTTTAATTTTAGCTATTCACATTTAATTTTTATAGTTTTTAAATTAAATTTTTATTCTAAAATTTTATTTAATAAGTGATAAAAATTAATAACAAAAATATGATATATAATTATTTTATCTAATTTTTAAAAAAATATATTACATAATTAAATAAAGGTATTCTTTATTATATAATATACTTGTGATTTTTTATTTTAATATTCTATACTTTTTCTTAATTTTTTTACAAATTAATAAAATGTTATGTACTTCTATTAATTTTAAATTATTAAATAATATTTTATATGAGAGACTCAGTTTAAACAATTAATTGAAAAATAAGAAAATTTAATATGAACAACTATAGTTAAAGAAACTGAAATTACACATAAATTAAAATATAAGAACCATAAGAATAGTTATATTTTATTTATATTACACTTTTATCAATTTTTATAACAATTATTTTATTTATCTATTATATCAACCATTTTATCATATTTTTTTAATTTTCTAATATAAATATTGTATTAAAGAATTATATAAATACAATATTTTCCTGACTTAATAATCAACATTTGGGTTTTCCGAGTGAATTAATCCATTTCACAATCCTATTTATTCTATTCATATAATTTATTTTATGCAATTTATTACAGGACAATACTAGTTTTAAGGGGTAGTTTGTAACACTTTTATTTTATTGATACACAAACGTATACTAAAAAAAGCCCTAAGATATCGCCAAGTGGATGTAATTTTTTTAAAAAAGTTTGTAATGTACTTAAATATATATAATTTAAATAGATGATCAAAATTTGATTTTGAGTATAGTAATTAATGACAATTATTTATGTATAATTATATGATTAAAATTAACTCTATTCATTTCTTGTGTTTTCACGAGATACGTACGCACGGGTGTACGTAGTATTTCGTTTGTCTTATAATATCTTCCAAATCTTCTCTAGGTGGCTGTCAACTATCTACTGGGAAAGTTGGGGAAAAAGTTTACAAAAACAGTGGGAGTAGTTGATCTTGGAGGTGGATCAGTGCAAATGGCATATGCTGTCTCAAGGAACACAGCTAAAACTGCTCCAAAAGCACCAGAAGGAGGGGATCCCTACATGAAGAAGCTTGTACTCAAGGGAAAGAAATATGACCTTTATGTTCACAGGTCTCCTTCAAATGATTCTTGATATAAATTACCACTGTTCGACTTTACTATATATAAGCATTTGATAGCAAAAAGTTGTGGACTAAACCTTTTAGAATTACCACTTCAATTTCAAATTTACGCAGACACATATGTAGTTATTCCTTGATGTACATGAGTGTGCCTTGGCTAATATAGGTCTTAACATCGTTTTTGCAGTTACTTGCGCTATGGCAGAGAAGCAGCTCGTGCTGAGATTTTGAAGGTCACGGATGGTTCTGCTAATCCTTGCATTTTAGCTGGCTTTGATGGTAAACATAAAACATTTTCATTTTTGACATACCCTTTTTATAGTTTTGGATTCTACACTTAACAATATAAATAAAGGTTGTAAGGCACCCAAGTTCACGTAGATTTTTTAATTACATATTTTTGCATACAATTATAACCTGCTAATAACATACATTATTTTTTATAATCCTTCGAAGGTATCTACACATATTCAGGAGCGAACTATAAGGCCTATGCCCCCACTTCCGGTTCCAATTTTGATGAATGCAGAGAGCTAGTTCGTCTGGCTCTCAAAGTGAATGAGCCATGTCCTCATCAGAATTGCACTTTCGGTGGGATTTGGGATGGTGGAAAGGGAAGTGGACAAAGAAATCTTTATGTTACTTCATCTTTTTATTACGTGGCTTCAGAGGTATCTAATATTTTAATTAATCATTACAACTCTCTTGCTTGTTCTCCAAGCCATACTAATTACATTGTTTAATTATTATTGTTATAGGTTGGTATCGCTGATCCAAAGAAACCCAATTCCAAAATTCATCCTGAAGATTTGAAGACTGGAGCTAAGAAAGCATGTGGAATAACACTCGAGGATGCCAAATCCACATACCCACTTGTTCAGGAAGCAAAACTTCCATATTTATGCATGGATCTTACATATCAGTATACGTTGCTCATAGATGGATTTGGTGGGTTTGCATTGTTGAAATTGATATATTTTTTCTAAAAATGTTTGGCAAATATACATATTATTCTGTCCTTCTACATTGACTATATACTACGATTTTTTGACAGGCCTAGATCCATCGCAAGAGATTACAGTGGCGAAAGGAATAGAATATCAGGATGCTGTTGTGGAAACAGCATGGCCTCTAGGAACTGCCATAGAAGCCATTTCATCTTTGCCTAAATTTAACCGATTAATGTATTTTATTTAAGCTTCTAGAGTTGAAAGAAAATGTCAATGCTGAAGACCACCTTTATTTTCCTTAAAAAATAAAACTAATCTATTTCATCTTCCTTTTCTTCACTTCATTCTATTACATCTGGGACATTCATTAATTTTCTTACGAGTGCATTTGTTATAAAAATATGTCAAGTGAAATTAGAACTTTTTCAACCTCGTTACCTAGAAAATAAGTTTTACTAGATTTATTAAATGGTAGCAACATTCTTTAAAGAACCTTCGATGAATTTGATGGAGAGAAAAAAGTTGATTTCGTTTTGTAGAGTAAAAAATATTAATATGCAAGTCATTGACAAAATATAACTACCTTAAAAGTAACAATTTTTTTTTGTTTGGTGAGAAACTAACTAATGACTATTACTTGATTTATTTGCTAACAAGATTAACTATTACAACCACTTTCCCACAAGTTGAATATAGATATCTAACATTTCAAGTTTGGATTTAAGATGTCTAAAAGGACCAGTAACCAAGGATTTTGTCAAAATGTTTGAAATTTGAGATTTTGAGGAAATGGAAAGTAGGTGTGTGGTTTCATCTTGCACCTTGTCACGAATAATATGACAGTATAATTTTATGTGTTTTGTCCTTTCATAAAATACTAGATCAGTTGTTGTGTGAATGGCTAGTTGATTATCACAATCGAAAATTGTTGGGTGTACAATTGTAATATAGAAACTCAGAAGATAGATAATCCAATATGCTTCATAGGTTGCTTGAGCAAGAGCTCTATACTCAACCTTTGATGGCCATCTGGATATAATGATCTATATATTGATGACGAACCCCACTGCTAGCAAAGCTATATGGCCTTCGTGAATCAAGTCTGGCCATAAGATTCTAATAAAAACCCAACTTGCACATCACAACTATTCTAACACTTACCCCAACGACCACATTTTAATAAGACATTCTTAGCATAGATGTTGTTCCCACTAGTTAAACAGCCGTACTTCAACAACGAAAATCCATTGCAACCATCGCATTTTGATCTCATTGATATTGCCCCTTCATCCCCTATCGGCCAAGGACTTCTTTCTTATAGACTGATATTTTCGATTTTGCTTGGTAGATGCGAGAAGCTTTTTGATTGCCTCTTTTCGTCATTTTTATTTTTTATTTTTAACCAAAATGTTAGATATAGAATTAACTTTCAAATTTGGAATTCTTGGACAAGATAACGTTAAGTGTAAAGGCCAACATGCCTCGTACTAGACCAAGCTCATTAAAATCTAATGGGTGAACATTTCCATTAATTGACTCATAAGAGGAAAGCACCACATTTTGATCAAATGAATATTGTTCATGACTATTTTAATTTCATAATTCAATATTATAATAAAAAAATTAAAAAAAACAATGAAAGAATAAAACAAAACAAAGATATAAGATTCAAAGGAATTTTGGACCAGTTGGGCTTTAAATCAACAATTCATGAACTTACATAATTTTATTATTTTATTTTATTCCAAATTTTTAAAAAACACTAGTGATAATAATAAATAAAAAATATATATTAGAAACTAAATGTCTAATTAATTTTCTTTTTTTGTCATAGTTAGATAATAACAAACTAATTTCATAATTTTTATATGACTACGTGACTTTAAATTTTCTATTGAGGAGCAGGAACTGGATCGGTTGAACTAAAATGATTTTCTCTTTTTTATAATATTAATTAATATTTTTAATAAATAATTTTTATTTAAGAAAAATAAAAATAAGAGTTTAAAAGTTTAAATAAATATTTTTAAAATTATAGTAAATTTATACAATTAATTGAAAGTGCTAATACTTTGTTTACACATGAATGATTCTCTAACTCTTTTATTTCAAATATTATGTTATTTTAAAAAAAATTATTTTTTTAATAAACTTTGATATTAACTCTTCCTATTTTTATAAAATATCTTTTTAAATAAATTTTTTTATTTATCTACATTACATTACCCGTGCTTTTTTTTTTGTTAAACAAAAAAAAATTATTATTTGCTACATGGTATTTATATGTATTCTTGACTATATATAAAATTTTTTTTTGTATGTAGTGGTCTTTATATGTATTCTTGACTATATATATATATCATGGTGTCATATATACATGTATGTATCTAGTTACCTTTTTGTAAAATCTATAAGTTAAATTAATTACTATGTATATCCAGATTATTTTCATATTCAATTTTCTTTTATTTTTGTTTTTATAACGTTTCGCTCATTTATACATCTGATAATTTACTACAAAAAAATCAATATGAAATGAAGCAATGAAATAAACAAAATTTTTAATTAATATAATGCAACTACTGCATTTAGTAATTATGACTTAAGCATAAACTAAATTCAGTAGGGTGTTACATAGTGAACATACCATCCTTAACTATCCACCCCAGACCCTGAGAAAACATTGGCCAGACAAATGTGATACTTCTCTAAAGGTAAGAAGCAGTTGACCAGACCTATACCTAGGGGTTTGGCTCTGATTAAACCTATACTTATGACTCAAAATTTAGGCCCATAAGCTAGATAGGAAAGTTACTAATCTCCAACATAATTTCATCAGGAAAGCCTTATCAAGCATCTTAAGATCTTTATGTCCTAGACCCCTTTCTACTTTTGGCTTACAGATTTTCTTCTAACCAATTAAATTACACTTTTTCTCATTTAAAGATCATCAAATAAACTTCTTACAGAAATTGTTGATTTTAGTACAAACTGATAGGGGAATTAAAAAAGATTGCATAATATAGGAAAGAATACTTATAAGACAGGACTGAGTTAATGTCACCTTACTAACTAAAGATAAAAAATTCATTTGTCAAAGGGAGAGCTTTTTCCTAATTTTATCAATGAGGAAAGAAAAATTCTTTCTAGAAGGTTTGTTATGAAGGCTAGAAATACTTAAATAACTACCAATCTAGTTAAAAGTCTTAATATTTAAATGCTCACTAATTGATTGGACAAGAGAAGGGTCATAATTCTTAGAAAATACTAGAGTAGATTCATCATGTTGATACTTAAGCCAGAAGCAATGCAGAACTCATCTAGCACATTTTTAATGATGGTGGCCTGATTTAAATTAGCTTTAGCAACTAAGATTATGTCATCAGCATAGAAAAGGTAAGACACCTTAGGACCTTGGGTGCCAAAACCAAAAGGGACCCAATCCTTACTCAAAATTTTATTCTGAATAATATGAGCTAATCTCTCAATGTAAGGAACAAAAAGGTAAGGAGACAAGAGATCTCCCTACCTAATACCCCTAGAAGGTTTAAAGGAGTCAGTAGCCTCATTATTCCAATTGATAAACATAGAAGAAGAGGAAATACAGTGATAAATAAGGTTAACCAGGGAGGAGTCAAGACCAATATTCTGGAGAGTTTCAAAAATAAAGTTTCATCTCAGCCTGTCATAAGCTGTTTTTAGGTCTAATTTAATAATCATAAAACTATTCCTACTTTTGATATTATGGAAAGAGTGAATTATTTCTTGTAGAGTTAAGGCATTATCAATCCCCTATCTATCAGAGATAAAACTAGATTGATTAGCATAAATAAGATTAGGTAAAGCAATTCTCAACCTGTTAGCAATCATCTTGATAATGTTTTTGTAACTAACATTACATAGGAAAATGAGTCTAAAGTTCTTAATGGATATAAGATTGTTAATTTTAGGAATAAGAGTAATTCCTATCTCATTAACAACTAAGATTTTGATGGGATATCTAAAACATCATAAACAAAATTTAAATAAAAAGAGCCAAAAAATCTTAACTCTTAAAGAATAGAGCATGCAGCCCATTGGGACCTGTAGATTTGAAGTTACCAATACTAAACAGGGTGGATCTGACCTCTTCTAAAGAGATATTGGTTGAGAACCTTTGTCTATCATAATCGCTAAGGGGAGGGAAGGAATAAAGGGTTATTAGGGAAGAGGATATAGGGGAAGGATCAAGATATAATTTTTAGAAGTAATTAAGGGTCAAAAGATGGAGTTTAGAAGGATTATACTCCTAGTTCCCTGAATCATCCTTTAAGGCTTCAATTACATTCTTTTGCCTTTTAATTATAGTAACGTAGTGGAAGAACTTGATATTCCTATCCCTAAGACTGAGCCATTTAGCACTATAATAGTAGTACCAATAATTCTTCTTGATCTAAGATTTGTTGACAATCATTTCAAAGGGTTTTCATTAGTTTACTTAGAAAAGGATTATCTCCATTTATTAATTTGTGAGAAATTCTCTCAATTTTATTTAATAATTGTTTCTTCTTATTTAAAAAATATTACCAAAGCTAGTCTTATTCCATTAAAAAATGTTAGTTCTGAATCTTTGAATATTATCTACCTAAGGATGAGAAGAATCAAAGAATTTGTAACTTAACTATGAAAATCAAGGTGGGAAAGGCAGGGTGCAAGAAATTTGAAAGATTTACTATAATTATGAAAATCATCTCTATTTCCAATCCTAAGCTAGAGACCCATATGATCAAATTTTAGCAATAGAATATGGATCATAGTACTGTTTTGGAAAGAGTGACACCAATTCTCATTTTCCAGTACTCTATCAATTCTCTCTTTAGTATTTTTCCTTTGCCATGTAAAAAGACTCCCTTTAAAACTCAAGTCATGTAGGTTGCAACTAAACAAATAATCAAATAACTTTTTGATTTGATAGAGATTGGAGAAACTATCTCTAAATTTTTCTTTCTCATAAAGGATGGAATTAAAGTCCCAAGATACACACCAGGGACTGTTAATAGATTGACTAAAAGCGATCATAGTCTTTAAGATTATCTCGAGGACTAGCATAAATTGAAAACAAATACCACTTAGTATGACCATGACTATAGATTTTTAAGTGAACCATATATTTAGATTAGAAACTACAAAGGTTTTAATTCTACTTGAATTTTAGAGGCATTAAATTTCTCCAAAAAAGCCAACAACATCCAATTTTGTATTTCTTTTTAGATTAATCTTGTTAATTATCTTATAATCTTTATCCATACTGACTCTTGGTTCAAATAGACTAGAAAATATAGATTATACATTATTAACAAGTTATTAATAAGCCTAACAAAGGATTTACCCCCAATCCCTTACAGTTCTAGAAAAGATAATTCATAAAAGAAGGAAATCTTTAAGTTGTATATTTAAGATGGGAGCTAGTCAAACTGGATTCTAGTTTCTTTAATTCAAGAGGAAATGTGAATCCTTTTCTAACCAAATTATCCTCCAAGTCTATATCCATAGATGGGTCCCTATCATGTGGTCTATCAATGGAAATACTAACTAAGTTATCATTATGAATCCAATGACTTTTAAGATTAAAGCCCATTAAGTCTTAAATGGAATGGCTTTTAGAAAAGTTTTTTCCAATTTCCTATTGCATTCTATTCATTAAGAAAATAATTTATTCTTGACTCTGATTGTCATTATTAGAACTATTCGCCTTAGTTGGAATTGGATTAGAATATTCATTTTTATGATTAACACCCTTATCCCTTCCTAATTTATCAACTTTAGGTTTAGATTTGGTTTTATTATTTTTTTTAAGGTGATATGAAGGACTGGGTTTTGAGGGACCTCTGCCTACAGACTTAGACCTAAGTAATTCAGATTGACTACTTCCCTCAATATCTATTGCATGATAATTATTAACTAATGTGTTATGAATAAGGGGTATTTTTTTATCTTCATTTTGTGCAAAGTTAGTTAATAACTCAAATCTAGATCCTAAGGAATGCCTTTTACCCCTTCCCAATATAGGTTGATGTTCCTAAAGATTTAGGAGTCATAGGCTTCTTTCTCAAAGGTTTCTTAGCTAGCATATACGGGCCAAATTTCCCCTATTCCTCTGTTTGCTTGTTCACTTGAGTGTTTTGGCCTCTTTGTCCAAGTTGGGTTATTGAATTAATATGCCCCTCTTCATTCTCTATCATGGGGGTACTAGGGTTGGGTGGGTTCTAATTTAATGTTTTCTTTAAGAACTAAGATATTATCTAAACAAGTTTTCATCCTATGTTTATATTTACCACAATGAAAGCAAATTAGGTGTAAGCTCTCATACTCTACCTTGAACTATTGACCCAGAACCTTGAAAGAGGGAATTGATTTCTTGTTTAAGTCTAATTCAATACAAATTCTAGCAAATTTGCCCCTAGACAACAAGGAAGTATAGGGATTAATTTTTAACATTGTCCCTAGGCAGGCACCTACCTATCAAAGGAATTTTCCATTATACAACTCAAGAGGGAGATAAGAAATTCTAACCTAAGCAACTATTCTCCTAATACTATTTTTCTTAGATCTAAAAAAAAGTCTCCAATGTTGGACAAGGAGATAATGATTTAAGATTAGCCACAGACCTTCAAATAAGACAAATTTATAGTCTTTAATGTTTTCAAATTTAACCAAGAAAAAATCATTATTCAAATCTAAAATTTTTAGGTTCCCATTTTTCTTCCAAATATTATATTGCTTTTGGTTAAGAAAGTTACAACTTATGAATTTACCCAATAGTTTGATGATTAAGGTTAATTTTTAGGGATTACACCAAGATTCATATTCCTTCAGGGGAATCTTAAGCTTTGGGCATAGATTTTGAACCTAAATATTATCAGTAGTCTTATCAAGGTCAATTTCTTTAGGTTCCAAGAAAATATTAAGCTCTTTCAGAACTGATTTGATTATTTCCTCATCGTTTAGAATCAGATAGTTATTAATAACTAACACTTTATCCTTATACAACATGCATATAAGGGATTTAGGGTTAGAATCTTGCATGTAAGAACTTTGGTCTTTTGTGGTTAGATCTGGTCCATCTTCACTTTTTTTGTACTACGAACCATCAGATTAGTCTCTTCGATTGAGCATTTTTCTTGATCCATATCTTCTTCGCTCTTCTCACTAGAAGGGATCTAAGGAAGAATTCTATCTCTCAGTCACCATAGACCATCAAGCTCTTGAATCACTTAGCCACCGTGCAAGTGCTAGGGTTAAAAAAAAACTCTATCAGAGCAACAATATCACTTTCTCTCTCCACGAGCAAAAGAAACCCTATCTTGAAACAATCATCTTATTATTTTATTTTATTTTTCTAACTTTAAAACAATAATCAAATAATTTTTTATTATTTATATTTAATTTCTTTTTTTTTTGTTTTTCTATCTTAATTATTATAGTCAACATTATTATCTTTTTATTTTTTTTGTTTGATTGCTACAGTAAAATATAGTTAATAGAAAATATTTATTTTGTTAATATTTAAAATTTAGAAAAGTGAATTAAAATAAATAATTAAAAAAATAAGAGAAATTAAAATAAATTAAAATATTAAATAATTAAATTAAAATAAAACAAAATGATAGAGCATTAATTTTGCAAAAAAAAAAAAAAAAAAAGAAATGGTCCCAGGCCATTACAGAGGGAGGGGCACAGCAACCTCGCAGTGATTGGATGTGTAGTGTACCGGTATTGAGACATTAAAGGTAAAATTGAACAAATAAAGAGAACAAAGTTCCTGACATGTAGAAACGATGAATTTTATATATAATGTTTTTAACGCTACAAATTTATTGAAATGGATTCACGTTATAAGTAATTGGCTTTCTGAAAGAAAATCTACCGTTTGACGCTTCCCTAATTTCCTAGTTTGAACTTCTAAGCCCTCTATTGGTTTTTCACTACTTTCTGTCCTTTCTTTTCTCATGCTTGGGAATGTCTACGCAAAGGTACTAGACAAATAAAACGTTACTTTACCCACTTTAAAATGAAAGCTCGTGCAACACGAGGAATAGTTAAAACTATATTTCAAGAACTTGTGATGGGATTCGAATACTAAACTTCAATTATCTCTCCAATCATGTTCTTGTGTCCCCCCAGAGCAGGTAATGAAATCAACAACAATTTTAAAAAAATTACTATACTAATAAAAGCACACCTTTCGCATGCCATTATCAAAATACAAAATAATAAAATAAATTTAATTAAAATATATTAATATTATTATAAGTTATGGTATTATTTGATTATGAATTAGTATATGACTGAGAAAGTTTTTATTATAATAATCAATTTTTAATTTGTATTTTTAATTAATGGACAGTAGATGATGTATTAAAATTAATTTTTATAAAATACTATAAAAGTAAATAATTTTATATGGTCAAGTGTGCTACAGCTGTAAGCATAAAATTATAAAAAAATAACAACGGTAATAAAAAAAACAAAACAACTCTTTCCGTGGTTCCCAAAAGATCAGCACAATGAACATGAATAGAAAAGGGTGGAGCATATTAAAACGCTCACGCGCCCGCAACGAAAATCTTTTACGTTCCGTTTTTGGCTTCAAGATTAGGAATTGAAGAGTATGGGAAAAATGTAAAATAAAATGCATTGTTATACATTGTTTTTCCCATCCAAATAAGAATATATTTAAAATTCGAGTATCAAGAAAAAAAATAATTTATTTTTAAAAAATATTTTATAATGAAATTTTTTAATTTATACGAAAGAACATATAATATTTTAATAAAAAATACTATTTATTATTCTGTAAAGCTTAAAAATGAATTTATAATTTAATAACTTATCTTAACGTAGAATTTCTCTGTTGAGCTATATAAGGGTGGGTGTAAATAGCAAGCAAGTGCTCGTCCAATCACTCTGTGTTCGGGTTGAAATGAGGAAGATGAGTTTCCAAGTGCTCATAACTTTTATAGTTTTGTTAGTGCCTTCACTCTCTTATTCCCAATCTTTTGGGAACATCTTACTCACTCATCGTAAGATATTCCCAAAACAAGAAGCTATTACCTCTTACGCTGTCATATTTGATGCTGGTAGCACTGGAAGCCGAGTTCATGTCTTCCATTTTGACCAGAACTTAGATCTCCTTCACATTGGCAACGACCTTGAGTACTATAATAAGGTGAATTCTTTTCCATCTTAAGATACGTCCCCTTCTCACCTTTGTTGCAAGATCAAAATAAAATTTTAAAAAAATCAGCTTAACTCATCAATTCATGAAATCGGCTCAGGGATTAATTACTTACTAATTTAAATCTTTTAAAATACATTAATATAAAATTACAGAAAAATATATGAAAAACATAAAAGAAGACGGATCATACAGTTTTTTTATTGTTATTAAGTGTATAGTATATAGTAAATGTTGATGAAAGATTATATACCATTATTATCATTCTCGTTTAAGTAATTTCTAACTTTTTTTTTTATAATTACGTTGATAGTAAAGATAGTTTCTATATTTTTTATTAAATAAGAATAGCACAGACAAAAATAATAACCAGTTCCAAAAATATTTAATAACAAACTTGACGCTAAAATAATCAAAAAATGAAAAAAGTGTGTTAAACTTGACTCAATAGATTTCTCCTGCATAGCATATGAGTTGTTTCATAATAATTAGGGATCTATGTAAATCTAATGTTTTACAATTCAACCCACCAGCGAATGAGATTAGCTCACATCCCAAATCCTATTTTGATATCTCTCTACGCACGCATATTTTAACCTAAAATTTAGGAAGAACGCGTTGATATAATGTACACTGAAACTTTAAACAAAAGCCTTTTCTACTTTATTTAAATAAGTTAGTTGGCCAAGGTTATTTTCAGAGAACTAATTTTGTTTTAAAAAGTAAAAATAACAATAATAATGTATTCTTTCTCCTCGCTCTCAAATCTCTCGGTTAAAATTCATTTGGCTTGTGCAATTAATATAAGGATTGAATTTAGAGGATAAAATGAATTTGATTTTAACCATTTTTCTTACCCTTCTTTTTTTACTTACGATTTTAGCTATTATTATGATTATAGAATTTCGGAATCAGTTTTCAGAGGCTTGTGATAGCAAATATTTTCAATTGTTCTACCCCATAGAGATTAGCAATGATAGAGTCTAATCCTAGAGTTAGTGGTTTTACAAATAATAAATGCATCGCAATAAAGTTTTAATCCAAAATTTACATCAACACAGTCAAAAACTAATAATAATAATAATAATAATATTTTTATTAAAAAAATATTATTTAATATCAATAATATATTAGATCTTGAACTTTGTATATGATCCCTTAGTTGGTCTGAGTTCCAGTAAAAAGGAGGATAGTAGGAAGATTTGTCGGACTTTTAATTATATAAAAATCGAAATAATTTTCGTGGATATTTCTAACTGTAGTCGAATCGTAATACATTAGATTTTGTAATATTTTATTATATATTCTCGGATGTATGTTAAAATAATTATTTATTATTTATGAATTTGCATTATTTGATATCCTGTTACGTGAAACCAACCCTTATGTAATATAAATGCAGATGTCGTTAACGTGCAAAACAAAAGGACTGCATTGGAATTTCTCATCCATTGTGTCATAATGTTTACAGTCTCTGATAGTGATTTTAATATTTAAGATATTAGTTTTTCTGAATGGAAATCGAGAGAATAAGATAGGGCATAGAGAGAATAATAGATAACTTTTAATTTTTATATAATTGTATTAATTAAAAAATTATGTAAAATATAAAGGATTTTTTAAGAATATTTTAATAAATGTTACTAACATGTTTTTATTCTAAAATATGCTGTAGATCACACCCGGTTTGAGTGCATACGCGGACAATCCACAACAAGCCGCAGCATCTCTGATTCCACTCTTAGAGGAAGCTGAAGATGTAGTTCCTGAGACGCTGCACCCCAAGACACCCCTTAAGCTTGGGGTTCGTGTTTCTTATCTCTATAAATGTTTGTCACACATTTGGTCTCGATGTGTTAAAATATTAAGCTAAAGTCATGAAAGTACAATTAAAAAAAAGTCAAATTAATTATCATTTAATTTATTGGCTTGTAAAGATTAAAAAATATGATTTCAGTGGGTCAAATAGTGAACGGCACAAGTGCATAATGTGTTTTTATTTTTCTTGTAATAATGCAGGCAACTGCAGGTTTAAGGCTTTTGGATGGGGATGCTTCTGAAAAGATACTGGAAGCGGTATGGTATTGGCTATTGCTGGCATGAGCTTTATTTCGTACCTTCTTAAGTAGGCTTTCAAATATGTCTAAAGTTTTTCATTTTATTTAATCTTTTAGGTTAGGGAAATGTTCAAGAACAGAAGTTCCCTAAATGTCCAATCTGATGCAGTATCTATTATTGATGGAACTCAAGAAGGTTCTTATCTATGGGTATGTCTTACGAAACCAAAACTTTTTATGACGTTTTTATGTTTCTAACTTTATCCATGTGATTTTTTTGTGCTATTTATTGAAGATTAATATTTTTTTAAAGAAGTAGTTTGTAATCCTTTTAAAAAATGAATTCTTTCAAAGCTTTATTTTCTTTCGCAATAATGACCACATTTGGGTTTATGCAGACTGATTAAATTGTTATTAGTTTCAGATTTGCTATTTAATCAAATATACAAAAAGTCTACTTTGAGAGTTTTGAGCACAGCTGCCCCTCAAAATTTTTAATGTTGTTTGAATTTAATTAATTACTGTAATGATATTAACATTATTATTAAGGTTTTATAAAGTCAAGTTTATAATTTTATTCATTACAAGTAAAACACAACATTATTCTTTATCTAATCAATTTTAAAAATGAAAATACTATTTCACAAGTTAAAGAAAAAAATTAAAACTAAGTAAAAAGTAATAAATACTACAACATTACATCCATATTAATTTTAAATAATTCAAATAGTGAAACAATCACTAATTGAAATCACGATACAGCCATGTCCCCACGTATAAGCATTCTGCAACAAAGCTGACAGGCCAGGTGGGTAGTCCCCCACTGAGACCTTCTTTCCACACAAAAAGACAATAAAGGCAAAAGTAGTCACTTAAACATTCTGCATTTCTCCTAAGCAAGAGGTTTTAAATACATGCAATCGGATAAAAAAAAAGTAACTTTTGAGTGATTTATATAAAAACCTATGAAATAAAATAAAAAGGTCAAACACTTAAAAATAATACAATTTTATGAAAAAAAATCAATATATTTTGTATTTCTACATGTAATAAATATATATTTTTTCCATTAACATACATGCTTTGTGTTCATAGTGTGAGAAAGTAGGAACTAAAGCTGATAATTCAATTAGACAGTGGATTAGGGGTGTGTCTTACCAGACAAGTTCTTATTATAGGTGGCAGTTAATTATCTATTGGGGAAGTTGGGAAAGAAGTTTACAAAGACAATAGGAGTAATTGATCTTGGAGGTGGATCAGTTCAAATGGCATATGCTGTCTCCAGATTCACAGCTAAAAATGCTCCCAAACCACCTCAAGGAGAGGAACCTTACACAAAGAAGATTGTACTCAAGGGAAAGAAATACGACCTCTACGTTCACAGGTTTCATTATTTTCTAATTTATATAAGAGTTTGAATAAATATATAAATATTATAATAAAATAAATAAATATTTACTTTTCAAATAAAAAAATTATTATTTTTATATGGTTAAATTTAATCTTAAGAGTTGAGATTAATAAAATTACTTTATTATCTTTAGTTTTTTCAAACATTTATAAATAATAAATTTGTATTAAAAAATAGTTAGAATGACATTGTTTGAAACATGCCCATGCAATGGCTAATATATAGTCTTAATATTTTTCTTCTAGTTATTTGCACTTCGGTAGAGAAGCTTCCCGTGCCGAGATTTTGAAAGTCACTGGCGGTTCTGCTAACCCATGCCTTTTAGCTGGATTTGATGGTAAGCATAACTTGTTCGTTTTTTCACATACCCAGATCGATGTTGCTTTGATGCTAAATTCCCATTTATTTTTCAAGATCCTACACTTAATAGTATAAAAGTTTAACTACATTTTTAATCTTTAGAAGTATTATGGATTTTAATTCTTATATTTAATAAAATGCGGTCTTAAATTTAATAATTCGTCAAGGATTAAAGGCAGGTAATTTTTATAACTTCAAGAATTATTTAAAAATGAATGATAGTTTTACAGAGATCAAAGATAGAAAAGAAAGTGATGTTTTGAAAGATTGAAACTCCTTTAAGCTTAGTACAAATAAAAGTGAAAAAATTTCCTATTTGAAGTAGATTCTATATACAGGTTTTTCTTTCCATTTCAGTAACGAGTTAAGCTTTTTTTTATTCCTGAAAGGGACGTACACGTATTCTGGAGAGGAGTATGAGGCCTACGCTCCCACTACTGGTTCCAACTATGATGAATGCAGAGATATAATTCTGAAGGCTCTCAAAGTGGATGCGCCATGCGCTAATCCAAATTGCACTTTTGGTGGGATTTGGGATGGTGGAAAGGGAAGTGGACAGAGAACCATTTATGCAACCTCATCTTTCTATTATCTCACTTCAGAGGTATCTGTTATTTTATTTAATCCTAGAACTTATTGTTATACTGGGTGGCTGAAAGAGATTATGCACAACTTAATTATGAATTGATTTTAATAATTTTTATAATCAAATTTATTGAATAAAGACTCGAGATATGTTAAAAAAAACTTCAGCTTTAAAGAGTTAAGCATTCATAAATAAAAAAAATTTATAAAAAAATACATAATTATTATATTGAAGTTATAAAAATATAATAAATAAATTTTTTTATCTTCCGTCCTAAAGACTAACATTTACAAAATCTATAAATTTATTGTCAGGTTGGTATCGCGGATCCAAATAAACCAAGCTCCAAAATTCATCCAGTGGATTTAGAAAATGGAGCTAAGAAAGCTTGCGCATTAACATTTGAGGAAGCAAAGTCCACTTATCCACTTCTTGCAGAAGGGAGACTTCCATATGTATGCATGGACCTTACATACCAGTATGCATTGCTTGTTGATGGATTTGGTAAGCTTGCATTGTAAAGTTTATATTTTCTTCCAAAACATGTTGTCAGCATCATTCATACTCTTTATATATATATGCTAATTTGCTTTCATATTTTGGCAGGCCTAGATCCATTGCAAGAGATTACAGTGGCAATTCAAATTGAATATCAAAATTCCTTGGTGGAAACAGCATGGCCTCTGGGCACTGCCATTGAAGCCATATCATCCTTGCCTAAATTTGAGCGATTAATGTATTTTATTTGAGCTTCTAGAGAACTTGGGACATTTTAGCGTTGATGGCTACTTTTGCCGAAAAGTAAAATAAATTTTATCCCTTTCTTATTATTCAAGCGCTTTAGCTCTAAAATTTACTGTCATTCCTTAAAGGGTAAAATTAAGAATGTAACGTTCCCCTGTTTGATAAAAAGTCAATTTTGACACAAGTTTAGATATATTTTCACTTAATTTTTTAAAGAGAGAAAATGGATAAAGTAAGAAACTGAGAATTTATCAACTGATATTTAAAATGTTATTTATATAAGATACTTAATTTAAATAATAGTGAATAGCTCTTATTTTTTACTTTATATATTTCTTTATTTTAGAGTACCTAAATCTTCTATAGTAAAGTTCAGAAAAACTTTGTTTTTGAAACGGCTAACAAATTCAATACCGAGCTCCACCGAAGACTCTCTTGTGGTTTCTTGTGGAGGCAATTCTTTTTCTAAATATTGATGATGTCATCTCGTTTCAATTTTGTCCGATTATATATATATATATATATAATTTATAAAAAGGAATATAATTAGGCTATACTTGATAATACATGACAAACATACGTCTCTCAAAGGCGTTGGGTTTTTGTTGGGCTTATGAGGCTAAGGTGCAAACAAAGTGGATGTTCTTCAGTAATGGGCTGGCTAAAAGATGATCAGCAAATGACGTGACATTGTTACCCCCAATGACCCAAAAAAAAGGCCATCAAATTTTTATATTTCCTTAATAGAATTTATGTCAAACGCAGACCCAAAAATAATTGATTGAGAGGGATTTTAAGTGGAATTGATTGATATTTTGGGTTTGTCGTTGATCAGGGGCTATGTCTTCTGTCTTTAGCCCAATTGAGAGGGATGTTTATTTTCCTTTGTTAATAAATCTGTTTCAGCTTTTGAACAAAACAAGTTAATTAAATCGTAATTTATTAGTTTTACAAATACCATATCTTGTCTTCTCTTTTTTATATGTTCCTACTATAATTTTTTCATCCATTTTCATTTAATTTTTCATGCTAGATATCCACATAGATTAAAAGGGACAGATGACCTATCTTTCTTAGCCCATAAATTGGTCCATTAACTGTCTTAACCTCAATCATATTTACAATTATTGCTAAGAAAATAAAAAGAATTGGGCCAAAATTTAGTAAAACAAATCTTCAAATATTTGGGCTAAAGTTCAACCTAGTAATTTAGCAAACAACATAGTAATCCAATAAAGAGAAACATGTGAAAAGTCTGATCAAGTGACGCTCAGGGTGCAGGCGAGAAAGAAGACAAGAAGCAAGGCGTACAAAGAAATAAGAAGCAGAATTGCATAAATCAGTAAACACAAAAGACATCAGAAGAAGAATGGTATATGAAAATGAGAAGTAAGAAGTAGAACTAACAAGTATGAGCACCTACTTAAAAGTGATATATTAGCTTTGTGTATATAAAAGGATACAAAATGTCATATCCATTTTCTCTTGAGAAAAGGGGTACATTTGATGAGAGGCAAAGCAAAGGTATCTTGTTTTTCAAGAAAAAGAAACATTTTTATCTTTAAGTACTTACATCAAAATGAGTGGTTTGCTAATCGCAGATACGTTTTTTTTTATCAACATAATATGTAAAAAAAGTCAAATATTGGAACTTGCTCTAATTTATTGATTTCAATGTATTAGAACATCACCCTTCTTGTATGAACATAATAAATGAAAAGTTTGAGTGTATTTGGACGAACAATACACGAACAACATAGGAACACTTTATGAAGAAGCAGGTAAAAGCAAAATATTATACTTAGACAACTATATTTTTATCTATAAGATTCTTTTAGACGTTGAGCCTAACCTACAAAGTTTAGCACACTTAGCAACACATATGAAAGCAATTACTGAATCTCATTGTTATTCCTTTTAAGGCATATAGCATAACATTTTGGACAAAGAACACCTCGCTGCCAAAAAAAAATGTGGTAGCAACGTAGGGAGAACTGCGACAACTCTTGCAAAGTCACAAAGATAATAATTCTCTCATGATGATTTAAGGAATTTAGCATCAATTTGATATAACTACCAGCAAAAATACAAAATTAGATATCAATTTTATATAACCGCCAACAAATAAATGAATTTTAACATCAATTTGAGAGAATTATTGACAAAAATAAGAAAAATAGAATATAAAGAACATCACTATATTCTCATCTTTCTCCATTACCTGCTTAAAGCTACTATTCACCTCACATTGGCTTCATTGAGTTTCATCACCACCCTCTTTTGCCACTACCACTACTATCAAAGTATTTTTTCCTAACTGTGACAACTAGTTTTTTATAATTCTCTACTATTTTTTCACTATTTTCAAATGGCTTCCCTTCAATAACTTTATACTGTAAAGTATATAATATATACGTCATGATGTTAAAAATTAAATAGAATGTGAATCTAAATAGTAAAAGAAAGAAAGGAGCAGAAGATGCAAAAGAACGGAAGAAAAGTATAGAAGTTAATTTGAACAATGTGGTGTTCTTTGCCATGTGTTTTGATATTTTAATTTAAAAATTTAGCAGCTGTTCAAAATTACTACTAAATAACTACCACAAATTTGAATTTCAAAATTTTACAACGTTTTAAAACTTCCACAAGTTTATGTAACACTTAAACGAATTACCTTGAATGAATTATTTTTTTCTGTAATTTTTGCTTAAGTTAGAAAATTAGCTTAAGCGAATGTTGTAAAAATTATACGATCCAAAAACAACTATAGTGTAAAGAAGACATGAAAAAGATTTAAAAGGACATTGAACAATCTATCAATACAAAACTTCATTTTCACGATGAAATATGAATGTGAGCATAAATGTGAAAGTTTTAATTCTGAAAATCATTAACTTCATAAATAAAAATTGTAGAAAACTTTAAAAATTTAAAATAATATTTAACATTCTATTGATTGAAAATTATTTTTTATTATATTTTCAAACAATATCTGAATATATACCTTCTTAAAATAAGGTTTGAAGATTTAGGATACACAAAGATGCATAAAAGAAAAGACAATAGAGTTTTAAAAATAAAAGATAATATGTTTTGAAGATACAAAATAATAGGTTTTGAAGGCTTAATAAATATTTTATAAATAATTAAATAATAAATATGTATAAACTTATACTATTAAATTACAAGTTAAAAATCTAAACTATTTATAAATTTTAAAACATATTTAATAGTTTAAAAATAATCATTCACTCATAAATAATTTACTTTATTAACTTATATTAGATTGAGTCAGTATATATATATATATATATATATATATATATATATATATATATATATATATATATTATTTTTTTTGGTTCAAGAGATGGTGTGTATCCCATTAGTTCTTTTTCATATTTTTCTTATGATGTTTTGAAAAAAAAAAGACAAAAAGAGTGTGTGAGTATATAACAAGCTGACTATGTAATTTACCAAGGAGTGAGGGAGTATTTAGCCCTTTGGAAGAAGAAACTCTTTCCATGTGTGGTTCCTTCATCACAAATACATAACTTCACTTTTTCTTGTCATGGGCAAAACATGCTATACACTCGGGTAAAACTACTCCCAAACAAAAATAATGTTTTTTAATAAAAAAAATTCAGATATGTATGTAATGCCAATGTTGTGATGTTTTATTTTAATCTCCAATTATGAGATGTTGGAGCGTGCATAATCTACCAATATTTGGTAAGTTTATCTTGCTTTTTCATTTTGGTAAAAGAAAAACTAGCTTATGTTAGGGCTTGGTGACAGTATATTTAGTAAGTTTGGGGATTTAGGCCTAGGTTTCTGTTTAATCCAGTGATGTAGCTTTAGGATTTTTATTTATTTTTAATGGTCCAGGTTTCCTTAGAGAGTTTAACCAATATTTTTAAAATATTTTAGGCCAGTGACCGAAAACTTATTCGGCGCCTAAGAAATTTAGATGCTCAGTATTGTGGTCAACTATCCTTTTGGTTTAGCCTTCGTTTTGGGCTATTTTTGCATTTTAAATAAGACTATAAACTACAAAGTAAAAAGGTTTTTGAGTTAAAAAAATTAACAAATGACCAAAAAAATTTAAAAGAACAAACAACGATGACATAATCAAATATATGAAACTAGTAAAGTAATATACAAATTAAACAAAAAAGATTGAAAAATATTAATTCTATTGATTCTATTATTATTATATAGATTTTTTATATACTTATTTAATTATGTTCAAGGATATGTTAATTTTAAAAGAATTTAGTAGTACCTTTTCAGAAAATAACAACAAAATAATTATTATAATATTAAATAAAAAAGGAAATTAATTTATCTAATCGCCAACAAGTATACTCAAAATTATCTTTGATGTTAAATAGATTTTCCATTCTTGAAAAAATAGTCATTTTTATTTTAGTTCTTTTTGAAAAAAAAAATCATCAAATCTTTAATTTTATTATAAAACATGGTTTTGATCCCTACCATTAGATATAATGTATAAATCATTGGCATGTGACATAACTTAGTTATTTCATTTCATCACTCAGTAGAATAAGTCCAATGGCAAGGATTAAATAATATATTTCAATAAAATTATAAATCAAATGAAAAAAGTTATAATACTAAAATAACAAATGAAAAATTTGTAGGTACAAACCAAAAAACAAAAATCTAGTCGAGCTTCTTATGTTTAGTTTAGTATTTATTATTATTATTATTGGCATGTGAAACGAATCATATTAAGAGTGTTCCTAAGGTAGGTGGGGTGAGTTTAGTTTGGTCCCTATCCCTTCTAAAATTTTAATAGAATTACTTTTTAAGATTTGAACTTAGACTGACAAAATCCAATAACGTAACGTATAGGGTTGGGATAGATAGCTAAATCACAATATTAAATAAGTATTAAATTAAAAATAAGATATATATTAGGTTATATTTATAAAAATACTATATAATATCAAATTAATATTATTCATAATGTTATCAATTAAGTTAAAAAGTAGTATTTATATAAAATTGTTTAAGAAATATAAATTTATATATATATATATATATATATATATATA